TGACAAAGCCACATGTCTCCCAGCACGGCGGGTGGAGAAGTGGTCAGTTCTCCCTGGGGACACAGTGGATGATGCCCAGCACCCCCTGCGAGGTGAGGGCGACTGTGCCCTGCACTGTCAGAGCCGATGTGCTTGCACAGAGGCCATGGTTGGCATGTCCGGCTCTGCCCAGGAGGGGGAGCTGCCCCGAGATGCACCCATGCCCCTGTGCTGTGTATAATGTGGCCAGGGTGGGGGGGAGATATCCCCTGCCCCTGTGTAGAGGGGGCGTGTGAAGGGAAGACGTCCTGCTGTGTCCCGCCCCGAGGTGGGGAGCGTGTCGGGTCTCTTCACAGACACATGTGGCTATCGGGCCACATCTCCTGTGTAGCATGCAGCTGGAGCCATCTGCCCAAGGGTGGCATGGCACATGCCCACACATACACAGGTGGCTGCCCCCTCTCCCCCCCTCCCCCCCCCCCCCCCCCCCCCGGGTAGGGGACAATGCTGGCACTTACCTGGTATGGCCTTCCCAGACGACCCTGCCGACTCCAGTGCCGGGACAGCTGGTGGTGGCCCCTCTGCTGCACCTGGGTCAGGGCTCTCAGTTCCCGGCTCGCTGCCCCCTGGGCTGGCGTGGACTGCCCCACTCCCCAGAATTCGGTCGAGGGAAGGGAAGTAGGGGCAGGTGGCAGCCTCTGCTGTGGTACCACCCCTGGTGGCCCTTGTGTATGCCTGCTGCAGCTCCTTAACTTTCAGGCACACCTGGTCCTGGGTGCGCCTGTGTCCCTTGCGGGCCATGGTGGCTGCTATGCGACCATAGACAGTGGCATTCCTCTGACTGGTGTGGAGATCATGGACATTTGGGGCCTTCCCCCACACCTCGGTGAGGTCCATGACTTCCGCTCCAGTCCAGGTGGGCGCGTGCCATCTACGGCCCCTGGCTGGCCCCTGGATGCTAGGGGACTGGGCGGGGGTTGGCTGGCTGCCACTGGCTGGCCTTGTGCGGCCACTAGGTGAGAGTCTGTGGCTGCTGGCAGGCCTGGCTCTGGCATGTGCCCAGTGGCCAGACTTTACCCCTTTAAGGGCCCCGGGACTGGAGGAAAGGAGAAGAGTTTTCCTGTTTGTGCTCAGAGTGGCCACCAAGGGAAACTGAGAAGGGCTGGAGGCCCCCATTTCGAATTAAGTGCCTACACAATACTTAATTCAAAATAGCTATTTTGAATTTGGCATTATTCCTCGTAGAATGAGGTTTACCAAATTTGAAATAAGCGCTCCGCTATTTTGAATTAAATTCGAAATAGAGGTTTGCATGTGTAGACGCTATTGAAGTTCATTCGAAATAACTGCTGTTATTTCAAATTAACTTTGTTGTGTAGACATACCCTAACGGATTTAAAAGTAGCCATCCTTCTACAAAAAACTTCAAAACTAGACTACAGACAGAAACAGCAAATAAAACACAATCAAATTAGGATAGAGTAAGGAAAATGGACTGAATAAGGATTTAGAGTGGTTATCTCACTCTCCCAGAAGACAAGTAAAGCCATGAAGCAAAAATTACAATCTGTGATGGACCTTGGAGAAATTTAGGAATCCTAAATTAGCCCTTTATTTTCAGTTATTTAGTTTCCTGGGAATATATTAGGATTTAATATGTTTGAAAACAGGAAAGAATTCCATAATAAATGGAAAATAAAGGGCAGCAAGTGTGTTGTGGGAGTGGAGTGCTGGTATTCAGAAAGGCCAGGAAGGAAGGAAAGTCCCCAGGACACGCAGGGTGCATCTCCACCGCACACTTACCTTGAAATAAGCTATGCAATTTGCACAACATAAATTGCGTAGATTATTTTGAGGTAATTTCAAAATAGCTTATTTCAATTTGACACTGTCTACACAACATCTGCATCTTTTGCACGTGCTTGTTATTTTGAAATAGATTTCAAAATAATGGGTGCACTATTACTGCGTACACAGCATCAGTCTTTGAAATAAAGCAATATTCTGAAATGTCCGTTAACCCTCATGGAACAAGGGTTTACAGGAACACCAGAATAGCGCGCCTGTTATTTCAAAATCTATTTTGAAATAACGAGCGCACTCAAAAGACGTGGAATAGCTATTTCGGCATACTTCTGGTATCCCAAAATAGCGCTGCAGTGTAGATGTAGCCACAGACACCAAGGGGGGGGGCACTCACCATATGGAAGTTGAAGCCTATTCTCATCTCCCACCCTAATGCAGAAGAAGGAAACAGGAATGCTGAAGGACCAGGGACATGGGAGGAGCAGGCCCCCTGCCCCTGTACGTGCAGGCCCCCTGCCAAATAGAGCCCTCTGGATTCCGACTCTTCAGCACAGTCCCATTCTCTTCCCCCTGCAGGCTTTGTCCAGCAGGCATTATCAAGCTGCATTGAAGGGAGCGAGACAGGCAGAGAGTCTGGTCCCAGCAGCTATGACCACTCCTGTGCTGAAGGGCTCTACTGAGGAAGGACTCATAGGCTATGTCTACATAGAAGAGTTATTTTGGAAGAGAGTTTCTGGAATAGTTTATTTTGAAATAGCACATCTGCACACAAAACGTATATCAAAATAGCGCTTAGCTTTTTCGAAATAGCGCATCCGCACTGATTGGACACTGAATCACATTCAAGGCCAGCCAGAATCAGTTTAGGCAGGGCATCAGGTCAGTAGTTGCTTCCTGTGTTTGCTGCTTAAGGCTATCTGAGGGTATGTCTATACTACCACCCTACTTTGAAGTAGGGTGGTTAATGTAGTCAATCGAAGTTGCAAATGAAGCCCGGGATTTAAATATCCCGGGCTTCATTTGCATCTTGCTGGGCGCCGCCATTTTTAAATCCCCGGTAGTTCGGACTCCGTGCCCGCGGTTACACGCGGCACGGAGTAGGTAGTTCGAATTAGCTCTCTAATTTGAACTACCGTTACACCTTGTGGAACTACCTAATTCGAACTACCTACTCCGTGCCGCGTGTAACCGCGGGCACGGAGTCCGAACTACCGGGGATTTAAAAATGGCGGCGCCCAGCAAGATGCAAATGAAGCCCGGGATATTTAAATCCCGGGCTTCATTTGCAACTTCGATTGACTACATTAACCACCCTAGTTTGAACTAGGGTGGTAGTGTAGACATACCCTGAGTCTCGTGCTTAAAGGGACTCCCCTGTACAACCATTTTCCCGGTTTCCCTGCTTGCTTGCCTACCTCTCTGAGGGACAGCAAAGCATTTTCTCTTCTTGATCTGGTTGCCCTGCTTCAGGACACCACAGCACTCTCCGCCATGACTGACCACCGGGTCCACTTCACGGACATATATGTTGGGTGGTCAGGGAAGGAGCATAATGCATGTGTCTTCAGGAAGTATGTACCAGAAGCTGCACACTGGAACTTTCTTCCCTGACCACAACATCAGGTTCGGGGTTGTGGACATGCCTGTCTGCCTGGTAGCAGATGCAGACTATCCCCTGCAGCCATGGCTCAAGAAGCCATACACCGGCCACTTCAACCCCTCGTGATGGGCATTTAATGCCATGCTGAGCAGGGCTCACATGGTGGTCAAGGATGCCTTTGGTTTAAAGGCACGGTTTAGATGTCTCCTCGCCCGCCTGGACCTTGGGGAGCACAACATCCCACATATGGTGGCTGCGTGCTTATGCAACTTATGCGAATGGAAGGGAGAGGCTTTCTTGCCAGGGTGGGGGGTAGAGGCTGACCACTTAGGCAGGGCCAACGAGGAGCTGTGCATGGCTGCCATTCGGCAGGCCCATCAGGGGGCCATGCACATCTGGGAGGCCCTGAGTGAGAGCTTCTCCCCGGCGGACCAGTAACACTTTCCCCTGGTCCGTCCCACTGAGGGCTTCTGTTTCACCCTTCACTGTTGTCCCTCCACTTACCCCTCCCTTTCCCCCTTTCCTGTTGAAAAAATAGACACACCTTTTTTTTGGAAAAACTAAACACTCTGAATTGTACATAACTGCGGGATCAAAGAAAAGAGGAGGAGAGAGAGTGGAAGAAGAGGGGTGTTGAAAACCACAGGTGCGGGGACCTTGGTATCTCCAGGGGTGTGTGGAGGGAGAAGCAGGAGGGGGAGAGGGAGTGGGAGGAGAAGAGACAGCAGTAGATGGAGCAGAGGCTGGAGCAGGAGGAGGCATCGTGCTCGGCTCAAGAGAGCGCACATCAGTGCACAGGGAGCAGCCCTGCACAAGCAGTTCCTGCCAGCTCTCCCGCTGTAGCTTCAGGTCCTCCTCGACCCAGCTGTGGATGTTTTGGTGCAGGGCCCAAAGTGCTGCCAGGTGCTGCCTCTGGTATTTGTCCATGAGACAGGTGCACCTGCGGAAGCCTCGGGTGCGGGAGGCTGTCCCGCTAGTGTTGACCGCCCTCCTGTTGCATCTTGTCCAGCTGTGGGAACAAAGAGTGAGCGGAGGGGGGGGGGGGGGGGGGGGACAGTGCCTGAAGCCCAGCCCCCATCTGTGAGCCGAGAGCAAGAGTTCTCTGCTCTGTTACAGGCGATTTGCTTAGAGCCAGGCCATGTGCACTCTGGCCATTTGGCCCAAATGTCTCCGGGAGTGGGGACTTTCTTGAGACTGTGGGTATGCCTGTGTGCCATGTGCAGGACTGCTGAGTGAGTGCATGTATGTGTATGTGTATGTGTGTGTGTATGTTCCCTGCCTCCTTCTAGAGGTGGCTTGTGGAGGGAGGGTGTCCCATCCTGGGATCAGGAGCATGGCAAGCCTCTCCAGATATCCTATGCCCAATAGTCCAAGGGTCCTCTGTGTCTGGTGTAGACACACCCTATAGTGAGTGAGAATAGCTGAATTGGGCCCTCAGGGTTTGGGATGTAATTTCTAAAACAAACTACAGTTTAAATATTTTGTTTATGCAAATGAATCAAAGTTACATCTTCATGTAAAAGTTTCCATTCCATCATATCATCACTGTATGATTCTGTAATGTGGCACCACTTCTTTAAAAAAGAAAAGAGCTCGGGAGAGAAAATACATAACTTCTATAGCTACACATGAAAAAGTTAGTGGAAAGTGTGTTGGGTGTATATTCTGCTCATCTCTTTTATTCAGTATTTATACCTTTGATTTACAATACTACCTCCTGCAGCCACAGTAGAGTAATAATAAATATACAAATATTTTATCTTTCAGATTTTTGCCATTTTCTTCATGTCATAAAAACCAGGACTATGACCCATTAATTCATACATCAAGCAAATATGGCCAAATGACTTATGGAATCAAACATTTCCGAGAAGAACACTATGAGAAATGGATAGCAAACAAGGTGAGTCACTGTAATATTAAGCAAAGTGGTAGTTTTCTAGATTGTTATTTTATTAAAATCTGAAAGCATTGGGCCTGGTCCAAAGTTTATTGAATTCAATGGGAACATTTCCAATAACTCTGGTGGGCACTGATCCAGGACTTCCAGCAGTATAATGGATTTGCCCTTTAAATGCCTGATTCTACAAGGTATTGAGCTTCTTCAACTCTCTTTGAAGTCAACTGAAGTTGAGGGGACTCAGCTCTTTCCAGGAGGTGCTTGACACTTTATGGAATAAGGACCTAAAGTTATTGGGGGAAAATGCTTCTGATAAATACATTGCTGGTAGTTTGTGCACAAGGTATCCTGTTTTATCTGCTGCTTTTTTTGATCTGGTAGAAGAATAAATATGAAACACTTAAGTGAACACAGCTGAAAATCTCAACAAAAAGGGAAACAAACTTTAACAAATGTTTTTCTTCTCCAATCATCTGCTCAGTTTTAAAAATGAGCAAAGATCTATTGTTTCCATAAGATAGTTTCATCATTGTCTAATTTGCCAAAAACCATATCCAGTCTTTCTATTTCCTAACACTATATGATGGGATGTTTCTCAAAACTTTTAATAATATATACATATCAGGAATTCAATATAGGATAAGATGTCAAAAGTTTAAAAGCTCCAATCGTGTAGATCATTAATCACAAAGTATGAAATGGGGAGTGGGGATGTTGAGAATTGAACATTTGCTTCTTGGCTATTTTTCTAAATTCTTGTCAGATTTGGCAAGCAAAAAATTCGATGTAATCTCCCAGTGGACTTACGTTAAAATGAGTGAAAGAAAATAAAGCTATCATATCTCAATTCCTTCTAAACCAGAGCCTGGTTCTGTCAATGGGACTTCTTTGTATCTGGGTTAGGAGAATTGGTCTTCTGGTCATTTGTACAAATTAGAGGCTCAGTGAGGATACAATTGAATAAATCAGAAAAAAAAAATCTTCTAACAGTACTGGATGTTCATATCAGGTCTTTAAATAATGTCAGTTATAACAATGTTTAAGACATGTTTAATCAGTTTTCAAGCATGTTTTCCCTGTAAATGCGATAAGGAATCCTGTGGCACCTTATGGTGTGTCTAGACTACAGGGTTTTGTCAACAAAAGTGGACTTTTGTCGACAAAACTATACCTGTGTCTACACTGCCGCCAAGTTCTGTCAACATAACGTCGACAGAAATTGGCAGTTTTGTCGACGGTGGTAAACCTCATTCTACGAGGATTAACGCCTTCTGTCAACAGAAGGCGTTATTGTATCTACACTGTCCTTTGCGTCTACACTCTGATGTCGACAAAGCGGCTTGCTTTGTCAACAGAACTGGATGTAGTCTAGACGCTCTTTCTCGACAGAAGCTTTGTCAACAAAAGCCTGTAGTCGAGATGTACCCTTATGGACTAACAGTGGTATTGGAGTATAAGCTTTTGTGGGTAAAGACTTTCTTTGTCAGATGCAACATTTCCCTGTAAATGTACGCCCACACCTACAAAATCAAAAGCATATTTACACACGAGATAAAGTGTCAAGAACCCACAGTTTTGTAAATTGCTTTTCTGTTTTTCCAGTAAAACTTCTCTAAAGAAAGAATCATATTTGTTTTTTGTCTGCAATTACAGGAATGATACTGTAGCTAGCCAACCTTTAGTCTGTTAAAGACATGATTGCTCTCTCTCCCCCACCATCTCTCCAGTTTTAAAACAGTAATCCTCACAAATGTTTCAACTTGGCGCTGAACATAAGGGTGAGAGCAAAAGGAAAAAGGAATTCTTGATTTCTAAAATAATGTTGACACTACATTTTGTGTTTGCTATCAAATGTCTGATTTGGAAATTAAGATAATTAATAAGCAAAAAAAGTTCTTTCCCCAACTTTTACAGTCAACATAGTAAGACTGCAGTATTTTAACAATTATTTTTACTAAACTGCAGGTAGGCCAATACTTGAGTCCTTTAAAAAAAATCTGGATTTATTTAAAACAAAATGAGAGAAAGCAGCATTGTTTGAAGCCAGCAGGCATGGTGTCATAGTATAAATAGCCTATTTAAAAGCTTTTCCAAACACCTTTTTTCTGATATTCCTCAAGTCAGACCAGCAACAATTCTGCTTTTCTAATTCTGGGCATTTCTTGATCAGAGATAGGCAGACACATCAAACTGTATGTTTGGAGGTTTTATATGTCATATAAGCTAGAAACCTAGCTGAGACCACCAAACTCATTTTTATTTGTGATCTTAGACAATTTTCAACCTAAATCTCTGGAGGTGAACAGCTATATCCATTAACCCAGTATGACATTTAGCCTTCCAACTACCGATTCTAAATCAATATGAAGCTTCAATTAGGAGGCACTTACCAAAACAGGGAGCTAATAGGAAAGAAAATCAGTTTCTTGACCTACCTGCTGCTTTTAAATAATGTGAGTTATTTGAGAGAACTCCATTCCTCACCATTTTTTTAGGGTAAAGGGCCCTATCAAAAAAGGTCCAAGATCAGATTTTCATAATCACTGCCTTTCAAAGAGGAACTCTTTATTTTTAATCACCATTTTAAGTGATCTACAAATTTATTTCTTGGATATATGATTATATTGTGCATCACTGTACTGTACACAAGATAATATGCAGGAAACTCTATAGGGCTATGTATACACTACAGAGTTTTTTAGGACATCCACACTGCAATCACTGAAAGAAAATCGAAAGAACGGAGGGATTTTTTCAACAGAGGTAATCCTTTATCTACAAGGAAGAAGCCTTTTTCCAAAAGAGCTCTTTTGGAAAAAGGCTTCTTCCTTGTAGATAAAGGATTACCTCTACCACGGGTGCCTGGGTGGCCACTCCGTCCATAGTAATCACATCTTAAATGCAAGATAGCATCCATTCAATGTGAACACTATCTTTTGAAAAAGAAGATTGCTTTTTCCATGCACTTTGGCAGTCTCCTCAGATCAAATAGTGGAAGAAAATAGTCACAACCATATATACCAAAGGATACAATTAAAAAAATGAACAAATATGAAAAGATGAACAAATATGAATTTTTTTTTAATTGTATCCTTTGGTATATATGGTTGTGACTATTTTCTTCCACTATTTGATCTGAGGAAGTGGGTCTGGCCCACAAAAGCTCATCATCTAATAAACCATCTTGTTAGTCTTTAAAGTGCTACATAGTCATGCATTTTACTTCAGCTACACCAGACTAACACAGATACATTTCTATTACTATTCCGGAAAAGCTTCTTCCAAAAGAAGTCTGCAGTTTAGACATAGCCTGGAAGACACTTAACAAAATGGTAAACACCTTAATGCTGTCAAAAGTCTATGGATCTTTTTGATCTCAGAATCTGTTACTCATGCTTAACACTTAAATGATTTTCCTACTTGGAATGTATCAAATTTTATATGCAAACAGATTTATATGACAATCTGAGTCAGTGGTTGATTGCCCTTTTAGGATGTCCATTCAACCTATCACTGTAGCACTGCACTGGAGAAGGAGAAATACTGTTTTTTCTTGAAATGTGATCACCCATGACAGGCAAAGCCTACAAATTACACTAAGTACTCCCAAGAAATCACTTTGATGGTGAATGGTCTTCAAGTGTTAATGCAAAGTATGTTGAGCCTGTTCCAAGTAATCTGTTAAAAAACTAGTTTCCCTGTGTTATGTGTACATCGTATTTACTTTAAAAATTCCACAGACTTATACACAGGTTTGTATATACTGTTAATTTTTAAAAATCACAAAAAGATAAGAATTTGCCCATATAACTACTTAATATCCAATTGAGGCAAGAATAAACAATTAGAGTGAATATTAGTTTACTATATTTCCTCTTCAATGAACAAGATATAGTATAGCTCATCCTTTCTCAGAACATAATAGCAGTTGTTAGTGAATATGAGAACTTGATAGTTTTATTTCTGCTAGTAATATCTCAAAACTTGTCATCATACTCTAGGAACATTTCAAATATCTCAGCAAGTTAAGAGAAAAAATAGTGTTGTATTTACATGTTTTGCTGAAAGCATATAAATAGGCAAAGAGGAATATTTGCAACTATTATATATAAATACTTAATTTTGGTTCCCACATTTGTAAAACCTGTTAAATAATCGAATACAACTTTTTGACATCATATATCTAAAGCCTGTGTATTTTTTATTTTCATTTATTTATTTGCAAATGCTTTGGAATACCTTAGTCAGTATTTATATTACATGTGCACTTTTATTATTGAAAACCTATAAATCACCATGAATTTAATCTATAAGGATAGGTCTCAAATAGTTGGACGATCTGGAAATCAAATATACTAAAGATAATGTTTTGGTTGTCAAAACACTCATGTGATCATATACTGTATACTGAAACACAAATGCTAGCCTACAGCTTTTAATCTGAATTAGAATTAGTTTGCATATGCATTTTAGACAACTGACTTAATGGCATTTCATGTTTTGCTTGTTTGGGAAATTCAGGAAGTGACATTTTAAGATGTTCCTTGTTGATAAAATCTTTCCTCATATGCCTTATTATAGATGAATTACAACATGGCTGCAGCCCTGTTTCATTATTTGCACATGGATTTTTGCCCTAAATACAATTTTATTATCTACAAAGCATAAAATATCCAAGTACTCCAAAGAATTAATTTAGAGAACCTAAGCATATTGCACAGAACATAAAGTTGACCTTTACCGTCTACAGCTTCTGGAATAGAGTGGGATGTGGAACACATCATAGACTTAATGTGGCACAACGCTGTCTGCAGAAACTTGGGTGGGACTGTGACTGCCTGCCCATTGCACCCGATGATTGAATCTGCTGTCACCAGCATCCTGATAATAATGAACATTCAGCTTAACGACCGTGATTATGATTATCATAATTGATGTGCAAGTGCAGTGTGTGGGGATCATTACAGCTGAACTGTACAGCAGAGAAACATGCTTTAGTTATA